TTTGCAGTTACTTCGGAAGAGACTCATCCAAGAACATCCGACTAGTCACCCATCAGGAAATGCCATTCAAATATCATAGTAATAGACCTGCATCCAAAACTTTAACTTGGTCTATTATCTGAAAAATGTATATCATATCCAACATCCAAAGCAAGCTCATTAGAGTCTTAGAATCTTTGCAAATTTTTATAAACATAAGCCCTATAGTTACTTTAAAATGAAGCTGCTTCAAATAGAAATTTAACCTATCATTCATCCGGGAGACGAAGATCATATTGAGTATCCGAGGCAAGATTGGTAGTGTGTATCCTTAGATTCATCATCCATGCAAATTTGGTCAACAAGGGCTTAAAGTTACTTGGAAATATGACATGCACCAAAATCATTAACCTGCACCAAAAAACCTTAACCTTCTCCAAAATCATTAACCTAGTCATTCCTTTGCTGATTTTGCAGCATCTGAAACCTTGACTGGTACAATGAAACGCACAAGGAGCATGTTTCATGCATCTCTTAGTAACATTGGGTATAGAGGCAATGCGCCAAAAACTTTTCCTGGTACACAGACGCCGAGGGTATCACATAGTTAGCTCCCCAAACTTCATTGATGTGAGCTAAAAATGAATTGAAATGAAGGATTTTGAAGAAAGGATTTTTTACATAACTTCTCCCCAAAAGCTTTCTAGTGAAAAGTTTAGGTAAATGAAATATTTACGTATTTCTAACAATAACAAACATGTATAACAAACATGTATAACAAAATTCTTACATTTATATAGTTCGGATGTAGAATAATATCGGTCAGGGCATCCAAGTGTTAAATTACATGGCAATGAATCAAAGTTGTGCTCATCACCATGAAGAACAACGCATTCTCCTGAGATAAAAGGAACAATAACACTGATTACAATCGAAATGTAAATGTAATTTTGAAAATCTGAAAATTCATCTTCAGAGCACATTTACTTTATTTCAATAATTCAACAACTGCGTTCAGGGAACATATACTAGTATGTTAACTTTACTTTATATTTCAAGAATACTTGACTCCTCTACTAGAAAGACAGACTGATTGTGGCAAAGGAAGAAATTACACTTGATTTACTTTGTCGCAAATAAAATAATAATCTTTAATTTCTAAAATATGTCGGAAATGTTAAAATACATTCTAATACTAGCTAAAATGAACTCCTAAATTTCAGTTCTTATGGTTAAAAATACAGAATATGTAGTACTGAAAAAGTACAGAAGAAGCCCCCCCCCCCACTTTTCCAAACTGCAGGAACATTTTTATTCAAAGGCCGCCGCCTCCCCCTATTTAGTTGGAACATATTCAAACATCTGTTGGTGGTCTAATAATTTAATGTGTTCGTCAAAAGGGGGGGGGGGGACAAATAGGATGCTCATTTTCTGTTTTTTTAAAGTTAAGTTGTCAAATAATTCTCTGGCTGTCCCCACCCTTCCAGGAAAATGAACACTTCCTGCTTGGGCTGTATAATTTAACATCCCTCACTAATATGAATTAAAGTTTGAGTTTATGTTCCCCAAACGCCATATTACTTCAACAACTGTTAGACGGAAGACCTTTACAGGTTTTCTCATGTATTCTCAACTCAAAGTGGTTGCTGAAAATTTACCAGTCTATGAATACTTTAGTACCAGGTTTGATCAAGCTCTTTTGTGTACATATTTCACCGAGTTTCCCGGGATAATTCTTTATGGAAGCACACAGGTAGTCAGGTGTTTTTCCTCTGCAATTTTTGGCTTTAGCCCTCTTATTCCATTCTGTCTGGTTCGAGGGACATTTATTGACTGTCACTAATGAAGATGTCTGTGTTTGAATGATCTCTGGCAGCAGAAAAAGGAACAGCCAGAAAATGTCTAAGCCTCCCATATTTTTCTGATATTTTTTCTGTGAAAAAAGTTATTCTTGTATTTGATGTTTTTTTCCTGAAAAGAAAAAGAGAACTATTAATGTACATATTTATTTTCTATATAGCCTATCGCATTATTATACATGTGATTAATATTTTGTTTCCCATCAATCCATCTTAGTAAGGAATTCTTCAAGCTCTGTATGCTACTGTCTCCATTTAGAGATATGTTTTGATTCAATTGCTTTAAGGTATCTAAATAATAAATTCATTTTACGATACGTCGTTTACACATTGTCGATACAATTACATTGTCAGCAAATACAATTTATCATTGAGTCAAATACTGACTGACGTTTTTCGTAATAATTGATAGTCCATTATTTACACGCTGAATTGATGACGGATTTTCCCGCTTTTCCCAATCATAACAAGGAGCACACGGCAGATGTGAGCGGTCGGCAGGGGATGCTCACTCCTCATCCATGGCACCTAATCCCACTTCGGATGTTTTGGAGGTGTGTGTTTGCTTTGCTCCCATTTTATTTTGTTTTATGGACAATTTGATCTTTAATTCTATCCGTTATCTCCATATGTTTCATTATTATGCTTAATATCTAAGATATCAAATATACTATATTATAAAAAAAAATGAAATATTAAGAAAAGCGTTAAGCCAAGCATTATCACCAAATTCCCTGTCTAAATGAATTAGAAATCAGTGTGACATCCTTGCTCATTACAAACACTTAATATGCTTTATACTAGGAGCAGAAATATTTTCTCTATGTTTATACGACAACCAAAAGCTAAGCATAATTCTGTTCCGTAGCCGTCAATGCTCTGCTTGCATAAGCGACTGGCGTTGTTGAAAGCATATTTCTCAAATATAGTGCAAGCTCTTGAGTGGCGAAAAAGTTGGGAGACATATATGTAAGGGAGACAGTGAAGCAAATAAAAGGGTAATATTACTAAAAAAAATTTTAAAAAATGGCGATCAGGATGGAAAAACTGGTCATCTAGTTTGTCATACAATTAATTACTTAGATTTTTTTAGTTGTCCCTGATCGTCTATATAGCAAGTAAGCTGGCATACATGTATGTATACAATGTAATTTCAAATAGCAAAAAGGCGAGAGTAAAAAGTTGCGCATGTTTAACCGCGAGAGAGAGATAATCTTAGTATCTTTGCCATCGAATTTTTGCCAACTTAATTTCGTGGCCCTCATGGGGGAGTTCGTAAATGTCAGAATATACTAAAATTGAATGGTAAAGATTCTCTAATATAAAAATTAAAACATGCAAAAGCCTGGTTAGTACACTTAACTAATTTTGAGGACATTTAAAAATTTTGTTGAAATCTAGTTTGCTGAGAACCTACCAAAGTCAACTTTCGTTTTGAACTTCATAACACAACATTTAGATCATGCCGCAAATACTCAAATTTATTGCCGTTAAAAAACTCAATAAAGTAACAAACGTCTAGTGACCTGCCTTACAATATTTGCTAGTGTTTCTCGTCTATAGTTACCTGCTAACTAATAGCATAAATGAAGTCACGATGAGCTACTGTACAATATCTGTGCAAAGTTGTCGTTCGTTCCTATCTAAGGAAGCCCTAACAAGGTAATATTCATAGGCTATCTCAGATAGAGTCTCGACCTTTTATACAAAAGACATCAGACGTGATTAAATTTAAGTTAAAATATTACAGTGCAATTCCTGCAGAGAGATTTTGATCGGCTAAAAGTCTGTTAATAAAATTACATCGAAAAAAAAAATCATAGTGTTTTTACAAAAAAAATGTCAAAACGAGACATAAACAAATTTAATTTATTCACTTTAATATTGAATCACTTGAATTCAAGTTTTAAACACGTTCTTTTTTTTTTTTTAACTTTGTTCTCTGTCTGTGAATAATACATACCATGAAACATATGAGATAACGAACAATATTCACTTTCAAAAGTCCATAAAACAATACAAAATAGGAGCAATCACGGACCTCCAAAACACCACAGCTACCTTGGAGGAGTGAACATCACCCCGCCGTGAGCTCCCTGTCATGATTGGGAAATAATTTTAACGGGATAATCTGTCGTCAATTCAGTGTATATGAATAATGGATTATCAATTAGTTTGAAAAACGTCAGTCAGCATTTGACTCAATAATAAATTGTATTTGGTGGTCACTGTATTTAAGGTCATTGTATCGATCATAGATCCTACGAAATGTTGACTTTAAAGTAACGAGACTGTTGATATTCTTGTTTCATCAACTTGTTTGTCAATAATTTTGGAAATTGTTTATACGTACAGCATGCTCTTGCGTATCGAATTAACTGAGATAGATAAACTCCGTATGCAGGTGATTAAGGTGTATTGCTGCATAAGCAAGGGAAGTTGACGATTAAAAATTTAAAGCCATCACATTTATCATAGAGCTTGGTTATTAGATTACCAGTGATAACGTCTTTTTGAAGTAAAATATCCAAATATTAAACAGAAACAGATGTGTCAGAGTGTGTGGTATCTTTTATCTCAAGCTCACCTGGATATATCATATCGACATAAGAAAGGAAATTGCCATTTTTACTGACAAAACGTCATCGATGATAGATATAGAGGTAGTGAACAGTCCATGTCAGGCGCCAATTCAGTGTATAAATAATGAACTAACATATAGTTTGTAAAACGTCAGTCAGCATTTGACTCAATGATAAATTGTATCTGCTGACAAGGTCATTGTATCGACCGCAGAACTTACGAAATGATGACTTTTAACTTAAGACTGCTGATATACTTGTTTCATTAACTTGTTTGTCATTAATTTACTGATGTCAAGATATGTAGTATTGTATGCGGAAAAATTGGAAGTGAAAGGAAGTTGGCCTCGAAAAAAGTTGGCCACTTAAAATAAGGTATTTTATATAACATTAAGCCCATATTTTCAGTCTTTATTTAAGATAATTTTAAGTCCACAGCTATTAGAAATATTTATTATTTATTCTTACTGAAAAGTAACATGTATGTATTTTATCTTAATTTGTAAAATGTAAGTGCCATTAAAAGATATATTTTCCCCAATAAATCAGCCACTCATATGAACATTTCTTTCAATTTCATTTATGATTTACTTTTACTCTTTTTAAATTTTCTAGTAAAAAAATTTGGTCTACTGAAAGGACAACCCTTAGCTTTTGCAATCCTTTCTAGCAATTTTGCTTCGAATTTGCTGCCTGTGTGAGACGGTGGTAAACAATTTACAAATACACAGTCACATTCTTCCTTGGGTCTTGTTAATTGGAGAATTGTCGATATATCACAATGGTAAACAAGTGCACTAAACTCTGTTTCAGTTGCATATGAAGCTTTAAAAAGTGAAATGGTTAGTATCTCATGTTTGAGTTCTACAGTATTATTCTCTTCAATAAGGTATTCAGGATACTTTTTCACACATCGTTTTACACTATCCTCCGTTAACTCTGCTGAAATTGATCCTGCCCAGGGCATAATATCTTGGTCTACATTGTAAACTCTTACAAACATTATGTAAACAAGAACAAAGAAAAGTTCCTTTTTCTCCTCTTTCATTCTTTCAAAATGATTTACTAACGTAGTCATCGGCGATTTGGTGAATTCCTCGCTAGGGAAGAAGTCATGATGCTGACAATACATCAACATTAAGAATGGGTTACCCACAAGTCCTTGACTGAGGGACAGATTTGATAATACAGAAGAGAATCCGATGTCTTTGTACGTACAACTTGGATCACGAACACAGTGGCCTTCTTTTTTCAACTCTTTCCAAATCATTAACATTTCTGCTTTATCAAGATGATCAATATCGATCAAATGTTTCGTGTCCATTATATGTACCTTACCTAATTTTAAAACTGCATCATATACATGTTGATGTATGCCAAATAAAACTTTTAAATGACCTTTACATCTTTCTCTCTGTTTTTTAATAACATGTTCAAATCCTGTGATAGTTTCTAGCGAAAACACATTGCAGTTAAATGTTCCAAACAAATTGTCACAACAAAGAAAAACGTTGTTGATTTCATTTTCAATCAATTCATTTTCATTAATATATTCCTCAAACCAAACCGTCCTCCATCCTCTGTCCTCATATTTATCTTGTATGTACCTCATGGCAGTTGTTTTACCACATCCAATGGCGCCTACACAGAAAACAATGTCTGAGGTGTCTAATAGCGTCAGAGTTGATTTAATGTTCTTTGTCACAACAACTCCATCTTTAACGTCACAGTTTCTCTTCAAAATAACGACTAAAATGAAAAAAAAATCGTTTCCATAATACATTAATATTCGTTCTTTTTACTTAAAATGCAATTTCAATAATTTAATTTATATATATCAGTATGAAGTTATATGTATATGTATATATTTTTTAAAGTCAAAAAGTATTCCTTACTTTTTATTTTCAATTCCAATGCATTATCTTCAGCCTGATTAAGATAAGTTGATTTTCTTTCGTCGGAAAGTTCCCCAAATTTTTCACTCATTCGTCTATAAACTTCCTGAAAATTTGGAACATCAACTTGTCCATCACAATACAGATTCCACAAAATACGGATCCTCTCTATGTCAGCTCCAACAGAGAGATCGCCATCACTAGGTTTATAACCCCATCCTGTCCTGGGAGGTTTTATACTATTACAGAAATTTATCAACAAGGTGAAAACAACTCCTTTTTCTAAATTGTCATAGTCCCTTTTATCATTCACATTTTCCAGAACCTTCAACAAATGCTCGCCAAAATGCTCAGTTAAGGATACAGAGTTAATTATAATGGTTTCTTTCAAGTCCCGCACGTTAAGCTCAGTTTTCAAAATATGAGTAAGATAGTAAAGAAGTTCAAGAATTTTTGAAAGAATTCTCGTACGTTCTTCATCGGACATTGTTGAAATCTTTCGCACAGGCTCTTCTACAACTATCAAAATATTCTATAGAATCAGTACTTTCATTTCTGTATACTCAATTTTGAAAAGTTAGTGATATATTTGATACTTGATTTTTCTTTAATGAGTTACTGAGTATTTATTCTTTCAGTGGCTGGGTGTTACATGTATAACTTTTACCTGTTACAGGAATCATCTGAATGATCTCTTCCATAACTGAAATATTCATAACAATTTTATTTCAATATTTTAATGTTACAATGCATCACACTAAAATTAACTGTTCAATTAATTAATTATTTTTTTTTAATTTACAGAATATCTTTCGTTTTTTTATCAATGAAAACCAATTATAGTAATACCAGTCATACATATATTCCAATTGCATATAAAAATTCAGTATGGCCAATTGTTAATTTCTTTAAAGCCTTACAGGATTGTAAATAGGCATATGCCATATTAGTTTTCCTATCAACGATATCAGCAATGGGGTATATCTGCCTGAAATAAACGACACGTTTTCGTGCTAGTTGTCTTGCATTTGTTTACACTTCTTGCAGTCTATAGCTATATATCTATAGATCTGTATATTGCACTGACCTCTGCAAGTGTTAACGGTAATCTTTGGAAGAAAATGTAACTACTGAATATGTTTTTTTACTTTAAAAATTGCATGGTATGAAACTTGCTTCCGCGAAACCTTATTAAACTGAACAATGGCTAATTGAACGGCTTATATATATAACGTCTCAAATATAATAACAGAATTAAGGAATATAGTGTACAAATTCCAGTAACGATTGATCCTGTTCAGCTAAAAGAATGCTATGAATAAAAGAGATTTTATATATTAGTACCCGGTATATGAATTGAAAATTGCATGCTCCAAATACTAGTATATACATGTAAATGACTCCTTCATTACAGAGAAAAGTCTATGAATTTACTTTTCGTAAGAATGTCCGCTCCTTAGTCCTTAGCCAGTTATATTTAATTCTCTTTTTTCGAGCCTTGGATAACATAAAATTTACATTGCTTGGCTTTTCCGACTTGTACATTGAGTTTCGTTTGACATTTACACCTGTATTATGTACCGAGATGCAGAATCCATAATAGATAAGAAAACCTTTCTAGTGGCCATAGGTATGGAGTTAGGGGCACTAACATGTGGAGGCCGGGAGTTGAGGGTAGGATGTTGTCGTTTTCTTCAAAGACAACCTATTCGTGCTTTGATATCATCACACTCGTTATTTTCGTTGAATTAATTGCTAAGCTAAATATTTATATCAAAGCCTATTATCATGATATGAAAATAGAAGTGATCTGGCATCTCTTGCAATGACAAGACAAGCTTTAGTGTATTACATAACGTAAAGTAATAAAAGAACTTAAATGCTGGATAAGTATTAAAACATGCATTGTTTTCGAAATGGTTGGTATTTTTTTTTCATAATATATTTTTGATGATCAAATTTCTATCAGAAAATGCATTGTTGGTGCTTTTATTTTCCTTTCATGAAAATGTTGACTTTCCCCTTTCTAATATGGATTATTATATTGATGAACATTGTGAATTCAATTATATTTTTAGCATTTACAATTATTTCACTCAGAACCTGTGGATTAATCTACCTTAGTTTTTTTTTAAGACTTAACATGTACTATAAGCCAAAACTTTTCATGAAAATAATTTCTATTTTATTTGCTACCATCCTTCAGGAATTTATGCTCAGTAGAAATCATAAATAAAACATACTAGTAGGTAATCAGAGATTACAGAGCTCACCTCAACGAATGTTGTCTTTAAGTAAGGCAAAGTCACACAATTAACCAACAAGAAGTGTACATTCCAAAAATGAAAATATTTAAGCAATTTTAATCTGATTTTGAAACAGACCTACATAAAAAATTTAAACTAGTTCTTCTTCATGAAAATGTAGTTAAAATCCAGCATCTGAAGCAAATTTGAGAGTTTTCATCTCTTGATGCAACATTTGTGCAAGTTTGGTTTATCCAATGTTATATAAGCCTTATAGTTTATTGGTAATAGACCTGCACCCATAACTTTTACCTGGTCTATTATCGAAAATGTATGTCGAATTCAGCATCCGAAGCAAGTCCATTAGTGTGCATCCTAAGATGTATCATCCATGCAAGTTTGCTCATTATAGGGCTCATAGTTAATTGGGAATGAAACATGCATCAAAAACTAACATTTTCACTCATCAACAAAAAGTAGGTCAGATTCAGCATCCGAAGCAAGCCCGGTGGTATGCAATGCCATCCTTATATGTATCATCCATGCAAGTTTGGTCATTAAAGAACTCATATTTACTTGGAAATGAATCATGCACCAAAAACTTTAACCTATTCACTCAACTGGAAAATGTAGGTCAGATACAGCATCCGAAGCAAGCCTGGTAGTATACATCCTTATATGTATAATCCATGCAAGTTTGGTCAACATAGGGCTTATAGTTACTTGGAAATGAAACCTGCACCAAAAACATCAACCATAAAATGTAAGTCAGATTCAGCATCCGAAGCAAGCCTGGTAATATGCATCCTTAGATGTATCATCCATGCAAGTTTGGTCAACATAGGGCTTATAGTTACTTGGAAATGAAACCTGCACCAAAAACTTTAACTTGTTCACTCAACCAGAAAATGTAGGTCAGATTCAGCATCCGAAGCAAGCCCTGTAGTATGCATCCTTAGATATATCATCCATGCAAGTTTGGTCAACATAGGGCTTATAGTTACTTGGAAATGAAACCTACACCAAAAATTGCACCAAAAATGTTAACATGCTCCAAAAACATTAACCTGGTCATTCCTTTGCTGAAATTGCAGCATCTGAAACTTTGACTGGTACAATGAAACACTCTAGAACCATCTTCCATGCATGTCTAATCAATATAGGACATAGAAGTACTTAAAAAGAAAACTGCTCCAAAAAACTTAACCTGGGACGCCGACACCGACGCCGACGGGGACGCCGAGGGTATTACATGAGCTCCCCCAACTTCGTTGAGGTGAGCTAAAAATATTTGAAAAATGTAAAAATATATTTATACTTTAGCAGTAAAATGTATATAAAATTGAACAAGGATGAATAGGAGTTGATGTTGAAAGTAAATTTTCTGCTGCAAAAGCTTTGTGGATAAGAAGAATTTCCAATAGACGTATAATCACACACTTTACTTTACATAGTCTACGAGAAAACATTTATTTATCTATAAATGATATTATTAAAACAAATAGTTGTAATTTGGATGGCAAGAAATTCTGCCAACTGACTAATTTCCCGCAGTTTTATGTGGAAGTATTTTCAATGTTTAATAAGAGCAAAAACATCAAACAAACTAACAGCATCTTGAAGGAAAAATTTCTACCCAAATTTATTTAGCACAATAATTTATATCGATATGATTCTAAAACTTTATGTTTTTAACAATGGAACAAGAATAGTATATTGCATGTGGAAGATCTTTTTGATGTAAACGGTGAAATGCACGCACTAGATTACTTTTGGGATAAATTAAGATGTAATAATAATTTATTTACTGTGAATATATTATGCTCAAATAGACACTAAGACCTTATAAATCAAAATTTGATTTGATTCTATGTAAAATATATTAACATCTATAATGATGACTCGTTTTTTGTTAAAGAACAACTGTTCTGAGTCGATCAAATCTTTAAAAAGTAATTTCTTCTATTCGGTCTTAGTTCAATGAAAATTTCATTATTCAATCTATGAGAATAAGTGGAATAAATATTTGAACATAAATGATAAATCATTGTTGAAAAATATTTACATTTCAAAATTTCTCAATATATCTGTGCGAGTTATGCAATGTACATGTGTATTAGAAGATAATGAACATCTATTCTCTTGTGCGATTACACTTTTTTTGTGGAGAAAAATGGGTATATTTTTAAAATTTACCGTTTCATGGAAAGGTATTTATGTTGGGACTTTATGGTGAATTATCAGAGAAACAATTATTTTGAATAATCAAATCTCAAAAATTGTCACGTTTTACCAAATTCTGTTGTGAAAAAATATAAATTACTCTGAGTGATAAATAATCATTGAAAACTTTAATTGTCATCTATGTTATGATCTATGTCCAATATGTTGCATATGCTTTTAATAAAAGAAAAAAATCTAAATTTTTTAACATAAATGGAAAAAGTATAAACCCCAGAAGCTATGCTGCTGAACAAGGTTGAAATTCTATGTTTGCTTTTCAAGTAGATTAAAGTGGTAAAATATTGTAAGAATACTCTTGGTGTTGGTAAGAAGACCTCAAACAGCTTGATTTTCCAAAGTATCGGCGTTCCTCAATTGCATTGTAAAGTCTTGTTATGAAAACATGGTATTACGATAGACCTATAGCAGATACCCTCTGATTGAGGTCTATTATATTCCGAAATGACAAATAAATTTTTACACATTAAAAGAAAACCGTCTTTTCTCGGACTAGATCAATTTTGTACAGAAATCCATTTAAGATAATGCTTGAAGTTTAAACACAATAAAACAGCGATTTATTTATGTTTCCAGTCGTATTTAACCAAATATAATGACAAAAAATTGACGTACTATTTCACTTCGTTGGTGAACCTACCAAGGAAGTGAAATAGTAGGGTCCGGCTTCACCTACCAACGAAGTGAAATAGTAGGGTCTGGCTTTAGTCAGACTGAAGATACTTATTGACAAAATGTAGAATATCAAATGATACGTTGAATATTGATACAGTTAGGTCGACAGCTTAACATACTAGTACCTAAGATTGATAGATTATGAATATGATGCAATCTCCTTAATAAGGAAGAATTTCACTGTGAAATGCCCTTTGTATGACGATATGGGAGACAGTTTTGAAATAGCATTATTATACTGAGCCTAGTGTTTTTAAATAAATTAAACTATTAAATTCTTAAAATCTCAAAGATCATTTAAATTTGGGCAATTTTTTAATGGTGCCACGTTGTATAAAAAAACAATATCGATATATAAGACTATCTAAATGTATGTATTTTTACATTCACTCTCTCTGTAGGATTTTTTCCCTATTTTTCAGTTGGTGATTTATAATTGCTATACAAATTCTGTAATGAATGATTTAGTCTAGGAGCAAAAATGTGTCAACTTATTGTCCATACCTTCCGAGCGAGTTGTTTCACTTCGACGACGAAATACTCCTGCAAAAACATTTAGCTTATTACTTTTTTTTTTCATTTAAAGCATGTAAAGTAAATTAAGGTGGCATTATTGAAGTAAGAAAATCACTGATGACATACCTGGCAATTTGTTTCGACGGTACAGAAAAAATATAATCACAGCTGTGCCTACAATCAGCATTGGCAACAGCAAAACAACTGCAATTCCAGTAGAGGAACTTCCATCAATGCCAGTCCTCAACAAATAATACCGGTAATCGTATTAAAACATTAATCAAATCTTTGTTTGTTTGGTTTTTTGTATAACTAGTTGTAATAAGAAATATTTGTAACTTAGTGATTGGTATGAATATCAAAAATAAACTTACTGATTTGTCGATACTGTTGTAGTTCCGTCTCCATCTATTGACAATGTAGATGTCTCTGTGGTAATTCTGTGTCAATAAAAACATTACTGTAAAGGGAACTGTCTAAAAATGCTGTTTTCTGCTTGCCTTCCAATTTCATTTCAATGTTCTAAAGTACTTATCAGATACAAACTCAAAAAAAAAATAATATATGTACTTATAAAATCATATCACATAATTTCAATAACTTACCCATAAAAGTTTTGAAAACATACTGGATCTAAAAAAAAGAAATATGATAAAAAACCATTTCTTCACATTTGTATGAAAAAAAAAATGTTGAATGAATAAAGAAATTAAACAATTTAGGATGTGCCCTTCTGCAATTTTCAGTGCAATGAAAAAGAACTCCCTGTAGAGATGAGGAAAAAAAACTTGTGGATTCTACGTACAGTAATTTTTTACGTTTCAATGTCATTTGAAAAAACAAATGAAATGAGTACATATGTTGTTCTTTTTTTTTTAAATTCTAACCTTTGTCATAACTTTTGAACACTCTGCGCTAGGGCTTTTTATATGTCACATGTATATTTAATGTGACATTCCTTTCCCCAGGTATCATTGATTTTAATCCATTGACCATGGAGTTTGACCGACTAAAAATAAATAACTTTGGCCATAAAATTTGAACGATTGGTTATTTTTTCATATTTCACAGCTATATTCATTAATACCAGTCCTTTCTTTGGAGAACATTAACTTTTTTAGTGTTTCACAAACATCCCGTTTTCCGTAAGAATCCCCTATGAATTTTGAGCCCTAATTCCTGCTCCACCATTGAAGTCTTGGATAGGCAACAATTTAAAGGGGGGGGGGGTGATTAAAAGATACATTTAAAGCTTACATTTATACAGTTCAGACGGTTTATAGTGTATTCCTGGACATCCTCTCGTCGCACGACAAGGAACAAAGTCCATATTATATGTAGATTTACTAAGAACAGCACAGGTTCCTGGAAATTTAAGTAAATAAAATACCAAATAAATTTGTATTTCAATTTATTTAGAGGCTTTTATCATTTATTCTTTTAAATGATACTTGCCTGATTTTCTTTAACATACCATGTACTGTTTGATGTTAAATTTAAATAATAATAAAATATATTATATGCCTTAAAAAATACACATAAGAAATCCAGGCTGGCAAAAAATGAATTAGAAGATCATTCCACTGCAAGCTTAGCTGCACTGCACTATAAACTTTATTAAATAGAAAATGCATTATAAGATAAAGTTTTTAATTTTCATTCATTGTTATAATTGAATCATTAATTGGAGATGGACATACCAGGGTTAGCCAGGCCGACCACTGTGCATATTTCCCCGTATTTCCCAGGATTATCCTGTACAGTAGCACATAAATAATCGGGTATGGGATTCTGGCAGTTTTTGGCTCTTGCTCTTCTGGTCCACTCCGTCTGGTTTTGGGGACAGAAATTGACACTGACGAACCTCTGTGCGTTGACACAAATTGTGCACAAGAAGTGACACAAACACAGAATTCCCCAAAACATGTATTTTGTGCACGTACGTAAAAATGTATTTAGTAGCATTGTGAATAAAAATTACTCCCTGAAAGAAAAAAAATTAACATGTATAATCACTGAATTTATCATTAATATGTTTTACGGTGTGACCTTTGGGGCGAGCGCAGTTGTTCCATCAAAACACTCGAGATCAGCCACTTTGAACGTCAAGCCGCACGAGACATCTCGACTAGCTGTGACGTCATACGACGTCACAAAGCTCGTCGGAGCTTACGGAGACAGCCGAGCTAGTCTGGTCCCCTTCCCACAATTCCGTTCGCGCATTCTCTACATTGAGCTCAATGTAGAGAGTGCGCGAACGGAATTGTGGGAAGGGGACCAGACTACAGCCGAGCGTCTGTTTGAAACTATAGAACTAGTGCAATTTTTGTCGAAAAACATTGCAGAGTTATTTCTTGTTTCTTTAAAAGATTTCTACAAACTGAAAGTCTGATATATGCTTTACGTTATTATTAATTTATTTATTCGGCAATATTCGCGCAAAGGACATTGGGTAGTGCAGGAATTCTGGGAATGTTGCACAGAGAAATTTGGCTGACGTATGTACAGATTTCAATCCGAATTTCCTCTGTTCTTACACGTTAGTCTATTGAGCTCGCTGCGCTCGCTATCAATGAAACAACACCAAAAGGACCAAAAATGAAAAATGTCTCTATTCCTCTTGCTTTAGATATTTACAAATTTAATTAAACGAGGCCGAGTCTAATTATTTCTACCCTAGGGATTTTAATAATTTTTATGCGCCCGAATTTAGTCGGGCGTATTTTGTTTTTGTTCTGTCTGTCTGTTTGTCTGTTGTAAACTTTAACCTTCGCCACAACTTTTGAACCGTGAGAGATAGAGACTTCATATTTGGTATGCATACTCCATTATCTGAGCACTTTCAACTGACACCAAGGTCAATGACCTTGTGACCCCCGAATTTATTCGGGGCGTATATTGTTTTTGTCCTGTCTGTCTGTTTGTCTGTCTGTTGTCAACTTTAACCTCGCCACAACTTTTGAACCGTGAGAGACAGAGACTTCATATTTGGTATGCATACTCCAGAGATGGCGAAAGACGCCGGCCCACCGGCGATCTCCGGTAAATTTCGTCTGAGTCCGATAGTTTCTAGAACCACGCCGGACACTGTGTCCGGTAGATAATTCAGAATAATCAATAGTAAAATATAATTAAAGAAATTAGATAATGCATTATTTTTTAAAACTTCGTGAAATTGAATCTATAAGAGTTTTGCATTATTTAAATATTGCAATACGTAGTAGTATGGCGAGTACCTGGCAGTTATCGAACTTACTACCGCTCTTTTGTGGAGAAGTCGAGAAAGCTCTAAATCTCGCGCCATAATTCTCAAGCATAACATTGTTGGTTTACAGTAGTGACAATCGAAGAACTAGAACAATCATTATTACAATGTATTGTCACGGGTTGGACTCCAGATAATCGATTGTAAAATAAGGAAAGTTTAGAGTATTTTATTTGATTTCAAAAGTAACGATTTCAATAATGAGCTTAGTGAAAAATATCGTCAAAAAATATAACGTTATCATATGAGGACTAACTCCTCTATAAAATTTATTACAGTGATTCAGCGAATGTTTGTCAAGAGATTTAAACAGGATTTTATTTCTAATCTACAATGATCCATTTTGCATTGTATTCACTAGCACATTGTCCCCATCCAACAGACATTTTCTTCTTCCACTGAGAAAGAGTTCCACCAATCACAAATCAATTTCAATTTTACATTTTGTTGTTTTTACGGTCCGGCAAATTTTTAGTGTGTCCTGTAATTTTTGTGATTTTTAGACAATCTGTAGGACACTGTGTCCGACAGATTTTTTACCTCTTTCGCCAACTCTGAATACTCGACTAATTGAGCACTTTCAACTGACGCCAAGGTCAATGACCTAGTGACTTTGACTGTGACCTATATGCTAAAAAAAGCTTTTTCGAACTTTCGCCATGACTTTTGAACCATAGGAGATAAAGACTTTATATTTGGTATGCATATTCCAGTAATTAACTGCTTTCAAATGACACGAAGGACAATGATAGTGTGACCTTGACTGTGACCTATTTGCTAAAAATTGCTTTTCAGAACTTTGTTGCCGCCGGGCGCATAGTGTTTCACAAACACATCTTGTTCGTTAGTTAAACTGACTGCTTTATTTATTGTTTTAAGATTAAACCAGAAGTCTCTGTCGAGACTGAAGCTCTACTAGTTTGTACTTATAGCAAAGGAAGAGAAAAGTACTTAAGCAGTTGGAAATTGAAACTTTTCAACAGCAATAAATAGAATAATGATCCTTGATTAAGTCTCTTTATGTTCTTAGTGCAGTCTACTTGCATGCCACATTTATATTATAATCAGACTAAAATTGTATTTGGAGTAGCATTTTGAAAGAATTTCACAGAAATTTCTATTTTTAGTAACCATGGCAACACCGTTCATCGAAATCAAAAACCGATACACAGAATTATGTATCTTAGTGTAGTCTACTTGTGTGCCAAGTTATATTGAAATCAGACTAAAACTGTAGAAGGAGTAGCATTTTGAAAGAATTTCACAGAAATTTCTATTTTTAGTAACCACGGCAACACCGTTCATCGAAATCAAAAACTGATAAAGAGAATTATGTATCTTATTGTAGTCTACTTGTGTGCCAAGTTATATTGAAATCAGACTAAAACTGTAGAAGGAGTAGCATTCTGAAAGAATTTCACAGAAATTTCTATTTTTAGTAACCACGGCAACACCGTTCATCGAAATCAAAAACCGATACAAAGAATTGTGTATCTTATTGTAGTCTACTTGTGTGCCAAGTTATATTGAAATCAGACTAAAACTGTAGAAGGAGTAGCATTTTGAAAGAATTTCACAGAAATTTCTATTTTCAGTAACCACGGCAACACCGTTCATCGAAATCAAAAACCGATATACAGAATTATGTATCTTGGTGTAGTCTACTTGTGTGCCAAGTTATATTGAAATCAGACTAAAACTGTAGGAGGAGTAGCATTTTGAAAGAATTTCACAGAAATTTCTATTTTTAGTAACCACGGCAACACCGTTCATCGAAATCAAAAACCGATACACAGAATTATGTATCTTAGTGTAGTCTACTTGTGTGCCAAGTTATACTGAAATCAGACCAAAACTGTAGGAGGAGTAGCATTTTGAAAAATTGTTTACAGACAGACAGACAGACGGACAGACAGACAGACAGACAGACAGACGGACGGACGACGGACGCATTACTATCGCATAAGCTCTTCTGGTCACTGACCAGTAGAGCTAAAAATTGAATGTTTACCACCCCGATTTCTTAGGGGGCCATCTCAAAAGTAGTCAAATTTTACTATAGAACCCTATCGGAATTTCTTTGAAAAGCGCCAAGTTATCACATTTTCCCCATATTTTTTGTATTTCTGCCCATGAGATTTCTTCTTCAGTGAAGTAGATGAAAGTTATTGTAAAAAGATACAAAAATTTTCAATAAAGTTTTACCACCTAGATTGGTCTCAGTCTTAATAACAAAGGTTTTTTTTGATGCCCAATGCCTCAAAAATTGCTATATTGCAGCATAAATTCATATAAGTGCAGATGATTTATCGGTGCAGATAATTTTTTTGTGGGGAGCAATATTTAGATTGCTACTATGTTTCTTTTGACATTCGTCATCAGGTTTTAGTATAATACCCATGGGCGTCTACAAACATAAGCGATTCACGTGTCATTCTTCAGCTTCGTGCATTGTTTACAAAAAAGGAAAACAGTGACGTTCAGAGCTCCAGATAAGGCGCGTATTTGCAGAAATACGCATTAAATTTTTAAAAATATGCATTGAAAATTAAAATAGAACGTACAATTACGCATTAGCAATCATAGATACGCATTGCACCACGAAAGTACTGCGTACAAGTTGAAGAATACAGGTACTCTAGTAATGACGACGACGATCTCCATTTGGATTTCGGAAGGAAGAATCGGAGATTAAGATTAAAAACAATTTCTATGTAGAAAGACTATGCACTTGGCATATTTTTTTTTTATTATGGGTTCATAGCCAATTTTTCATCTCTCTCAACTTGCCATATTAACGAAGATTCTTTTCTCTTAGTTTACTCTTGATACGATATCTTAAATGAAGAAAATTTCTCTCACTCTATGGTACCTTGACCTAATGTATAAACTTCCTTGTCAAAAAAGAATGCTTCCCAATCTTAGCAAAAACTCTTGTTGGTATTTGCAAAATTTATTTGAATAAATGCAGGAACCGACCTTTAAGTTTAAAGTTTTTCCCCCTCTTCAAAAACACATACTTCGATTACAAGCTCAAAATCAAAATAAAGGTCAAAACGTTTATATATAAACAAAATACTCTTCAATCATTTTGCTGAAAATTAAAATCTGCATTGATTTGAAAATCAGGGAGTAAATATACTTTGGGGTAAAAAATTATCTGGAGCTCTGGACGTTGCTTGAGTCATTTTAGCGTTTGTTTCCTAATTATTGTAGTTAAATTACGTTTTCAGACCAGTTGGCGTTACAGATAATGTTAATTTTATGTTAAAATCACCATATCATGGAAATTGGAAAAGGTGTAATGTCACACTTATAATTATGACTACATGAAATTAAAAATCTGCGCAAAGTCATGCGCACTCAAATTAGACTCGGCCTCGTTAAACATGTACATATTATTTGCGTCACAATAGCAATTATATGTTTTTGCTTGCTTTTCCTCATATTTCTGCTGTTTGATATTGTTTGGTAGGCTTCGAACGCATGTAGAATCCACATTTACTTGACGTAAAAATGGAAATACTAATATGTTACATAACAAGAGACCCATGGGCCTTAAAGGTCACCTGAGTATCATGCAACAACTTTCCAACAAATTAAATTTGATTCATGTTTTAAACCAGAGGCCAAAGAATTCTGACACAATTTTGAAAGAGGCACCATTTAGGTAAGTTTTATTTCATAATGTTGTTGATTAATACCAAAGTTTCAGATTATGTACCCCCCCCCATCCACCAAGCACCTCTGTCCCAGGGGCCAGTAAAATAACCATTTTTGAAAGAAGCAGCTTTCTTCGTCATATATATATACTAAGATCATTGGCATAATACCCAAGAAAAAAGGAAAACATTTTCAAAGAATTCATGCATTTTCATTAAATAGACATTAAAGCCCCACCCTAGTGCATTTTCATTAAATAGACATTAGAGCCCCACCCTAAAACAAGAAGCCCTGACCCAGGGGCTCTGAAATTCACAAATCTCAAAGAGGCATCCTTCCTTCTCATAACTATATACATAGTTCATTGGTTAAATACCCAGGTGTAGAAAAAAAGATTTCTAGAGAATTTATGCATTTTCACTATATAATCAATAAAGCCCCACCCTAACACCAGAACCCCTAACCCAGGGGTCATGAAATTTATAAATTTGGAAGAAGCAGCCTTATTCAACATAACTACGTATTTGGTTAGTTTATTTAATACTCAGGAGCAAAGAAGAAGATTTTCAAAGAAATAAATCATTGTTACTATATAATCTATATAGCCCCGCCTTAGCACTAGAGCCCCTGACCCAGGGGCCATGAAATTCACAATTTTGGAAGAGGCAGTCTTATTCAACATAGCTATGCACTTAGTTAGTTTATTTAATCCCCACAAACAGAGAAGAAGAATTTCAAAGAATTTTTGCATTTTTACTATATAATCTATATAGCCCCACCCTAGCACTAAAACCCCTTGCCCTGGGGCCATGAAATTCACAATTTTGGAAGAGGCAGTCAATTCCAACTCAACTATGAACTTGGTTAGTTTATTTAATGCCAAGGAGCAGAAAAGAAGAATTTCAAAGAAATAATGCATTTTCACTATATAACCTATTTAGCCCCACCCTAGTACTAGAACCCCTGACCCTGGGGCCATGAATTTCACAATTTTGGTAGAGGACTCAATGCTGATAGCAATCATACTAACAGTTCGACAGCTTGATGTCCAGGAGTAAAGAAGAAGATTTTTATAGATTGCACTAATTTTAGTGGTTTTTGCCCCATCCCCCAGGCCCCTGGGGGGCAGGGACCATGAAATTCACAATTTTTGTTCCCCTTCTCCCATAGATGCTCTATGCCAAATTTGGTTAAAATTAGTTCAGTGGTTTCAGAGAAGAAGCTGAAAATGTTCAAATGTTAACACACGACGCACACCGCACGATGGACAACGACGGACAAAAACAGATAGCAATAGGTCACGTGAGTTTACTCAGGTGACCTAATAAAACATGATACGCTTTGGGGTACCATCTCTTACCCGCACCTTCTCCTTTACCACTGAATGAAATACTAGTCCCCTACAGATAAGTTTCATCTGGTTTCCTTTTAAAAAATGAAAATCCCACGATATGTTAAAAATCAATATCTGCCAGCGTTTAGAAAAGAAATGAAAAAAAAAATTATTTTAAAAACCGGACCCTTAAAAGAACCCTAGTTCCTCGGGAATTAAATAAAACTGTGTGAAAAACTAAGTGAGACAGACTGACAGAAAGACAGAGGGATAGCTACACGGACAGGCAGGCGAGTAGATGAGGAGGAAACCTATTCCCTTCCGGTTTTACCATTTTTTTCTATACATGTAGATTCCTGTGCTAGTAAAATTGTTCTTGCCAATCAACTGAATACACAAGACATGATATTAACAAGTATGCAAAAAAATATATTGTAATATCTTTAAGGTTATCCGATCCTCAGGTTCTGAAAATCAGGCATGCTCACAAAGATGTCTCTATATTCTCAAATTCATATGTTCTGTATTTACCCACGGAGTTTTTTCACACTTCGTCTTTAAAGTTAATCATATTATATGGAAAATTAGTAAATCTCAAATAAATTTTCAGGAAATTTGAAAAGAACTTCCAACTGCATATTTTCTTATTGATAATTGATTTAAAAATATATTTTAGGAATAGAAATAATAGGTATCCAGTTTCAAAGAAAACTGCATGGTTTCTATACCTATTCGGTACTTTAGTTTCTCCTATTTACTTCAATAATTTTATAATGCATAGTGTATGAAGCGTTTCCCCTATCAAAGAAAACACCAAAAAAATCACTTCTAATCTTAAATTATGCTTATAATAATTGGTAACTATGTTAACTAAGGTTAGATTAAAAGAACTTTGATTTCTTTAAATATGTAAGTTTTACATACTTTTATTAGGAAGAAATTTCAACTTTTTTTATTACCGTTTATAAAAACTTAAAGAACCTTGAATCGTACTGAGAGGCAAATGAAAATTGTTGCATGAAAAGATTTAAATTTCAAGCTTTATTCCGACACTTTTTGAATTAAATTATAATTTAAGAGTTATCCTTCCTGGCTGAGGATCGGATATCCTTAACATATTTTCCTTTCATGTTTAAAAGGAAATCTTGGACTCCAAAATTTTACTCCAAACTCCACTCCAAGCTTCTGGTCCATGAATTACACTGTGCCATATTGGCGATGGGTTTTACTGATAACATTAAAATTTGAATAACAGAATTCTTTTAAATCACATTTAGTGAAATTATTATTTATCCAGAAACTATTTATCACTGCACAACCTAGTTATGATCGTGGGTACTGGTGTTTACAAACACATCTTGTGCAGTCATTATAATAATTTGTACTTTCGATTTCTTATCTGTCAGAGATTATTGATTATTACGTATAATTATTTAATATCTGTATCTTGACCTATCATACAAAGAGCTTCATAGTATAAAAAATGTGCAGTAGGAAAAAACATTAATCATTTCCTTGTTGGTTACATTCCGATATCATATGTCTATAAATGTACGCATGATTTACAAATATCCGGCTTACCTTTGAATGAATATTTGGCGGTTACTTCTACCGGCTTTAAAAAAGTAATGTTACTTGCTAAAACCGTACACGTAACGCGGAACAGAAAACGGATCGATCGCATGGGAAAACCGAAAATATGTTACCATATTATTTAAACATCTGACAAGTACATGTATATATAAATTATACTAGTATCAGAAACGTAAACGAGTTAGTTAAGTCATGTTCCTCCCTGAATGTAGGCAAAGCATAAAACATTGCCGAAAGCGGAAAAAAATCAGTTATTAAAATCATTTATCTGAACATATTGTACTGACTCCGGACAGGAAATTAAGGAAACAACGTTGTAAATGCGTCCAATGATTTTATTTATGAGGATGAGGAGATATGACGATGACGATGACATGGAAATATGACTTGAAGTTGAACTTGACATGGAAATGACGTGAATGACGTTGAAATAGATGTAGACGTAGAAATGACTTGGAAAATATGACGATTTACTACAAAAAATACAAAGAAAAAATACTATAAATACAAGATATTTCAAGCAAGTTACACATGAAAACACATCCTAGCAAAAATTCATGATGTATTACATGTTCTAGAAAATACTTCAATACACAATCAAAGTACTGAAAGTACTGTTAGACGGAGGCTTCATGTATGAGAGAACACAAAAGAAATATGTATATCATACATAGCTGTAAAGAATATTTTGAGAAATAATGTGTATTTTTTTTTTTCAATTCAACATTTTTTTCAAAGACTACTCCAATATTTATGAGGGTTTTGGGATATTATAATTTCATCTTTGTAATGTAAACTTCGCCATGATGAAAGTTCACTGTTATTTAGATGAGATACTTTCAATATTAAACCTTTCAACGTAAGAAACGGTAATTGACTAGGCCTGGTTGACATAAAACTTAGACGGGCTAACTTTTTATCCCAGTCTCACTTAAGGAATATATAGTGGAAAAGTGAAACTGAGATCAAAAGTGAGCTTGTCTTATATAAGTTGTATGCCCCCCAGGCCCGGTTTGATGAATGTAGGTCTAGTATGTTCTAGTCATGAGCCCACTGGCAGAATTAAAAGGGGCCCCTTGCCCCCTCCCTTTTGAGTCCAAAAATACGCAATATTTGATAAATGAGTGTTTAATTGTGGCTGTGGGCCCCTTCCTTGACCTCAAACTGGCCCCCCTTTTTCAGAATTTCTGATTCAGCACTAGGCCTCAGCCAGTCAGGAGTTTCCATATTTCAAGATATCTTATTCATAGGTCACATAGACCTACTTTTAACATAATTATGACATGTAACAGCTACCAAATCCAAATTTCTCGGCCTTATTGTAATAATGTTATGATATGAGCTAAAATGAAAAAAGAAGCAGCCAGGTAATTGGACATGAACAACATAATATAGTACAGTTTGTCTTAAACCTTTGTGATACAAAATGGAGTGACCTAGCTTGATGCAACACAGAATTTTCTTTAAATAATATAAAGTAATTAACATGCAATAAATGTTCGTGCCAGAACACAATTTTTTGAGTGGAATAAAATATACTTTCTTACTTAAAGTAAACAAAGTTCATAATACTTGCTATTTCACAAGTTTAATTTTTTTTTTTTTTTGAGAACTGAGGTATTGCTTACAATAACAAAGATATATCTTGACAAATTTGACAACCAATATTTCTGGAATTATTGAATGTAGTATTTTATCATATGACAGATCTAACTCAAAAATGCCTTTCTTTACTCGTATACCAGTGGAAATGGTTGTCCTTTTCAGTTTATCTGTTTAAAACAATCATTAACAATGAGACATGATTACAAATTACGTAGAGAAAAGTAATAAATATATAACTGTGGTTTCTGCTTTTCAGTAACTCTGTTCAAACAATCACTTCTCCAATGATGTAGGTTAAAAAAAAGTTGACATGAATACCAATGATCAGAAATACATGTAATCTTGTATGCAAAAAATAATTAACGTTTGAGATGTGAAAGAGGTAAAACACAAGTATCAAATGCAAATAAGGATCAACGATATGACAATAAGACAACTTATTTCAGAAGATTTAATTTTTAATTATTTATTAGGATATAATGTGATAAATCATGTAAATCTTATGAACCATGATTTGGGTTGTACCCAAGGGTCAAAAGTTACAAATGCATATGATCTCAATATCAGAGTTGCCGTTTGTTTCTCTCTTATCTAATGTGAGGGTACCCCCAAACACTCAAACCGCTTGTAGAAAGTGTAAATCTATTTTCATGTGTTTCCTAAAATTCTACATAATTACAAATAAAGAATTCAAAACTAGACTGTTAATATTCCTACAGATAAAAATACTATGCATTTGTTTATTCATCGATCCTTGTCAGATTAAAAAAACTCCATGAAACCCATTGATGCAAGCGTCAAAAATCGGCCACAAACCAATTTATCGGCCCTTTCAGAAAAGGAGTGAAAATGAGATTACAAACAGCAATCAAGCACAAAAAATCCATTAAAACTGAAATGTTTGATCTATTATTAAAATATCTTATATTTATACCTGCGACATAAAACATTTGCATGCGGCATTACAGGATTTTCTTCAATACATAATACAGGTACATATGCGTCTCCACACTAAGTTTGATACAGGCGAATTCTGGTGGAAGTTTTTACAATTGAATATAAAACTAAAGTTTAAATTATCTATATCTAGAGATAGTTTTTACTTTAATAAAAGAAGCAATTGATAAGTGGGGTTCCTCGATCACTCTCCGCGGATGTTAACACCCCCCCCCCCCAAGCTCCCTGTAGATCCGCCACTTCATTTCTTCTCGTTCTTGTTTTGGTGTGAGAATCGGTGGGAAAAGGCTCGGCATATTGTAAAACGCGCTTTATCATCGCCTGTTGGAACAAAATCTCCTAATATTTTGTCTGATAAAAGATGAACAGTAAATCACATTCTTTTTTACATATTCCGTAGGAAATGTATTTATATACACGTCATTTTAAAAATATTAGACAAATCCTGTTTATTTAGAAAAAGTAGAACTGTTTGTTTATACTTGTATGTGACGCGATCTTTGTTTTAGACTATGCCTATCTTTGCGGTCGGTGTTACTCAGAGTCGCTCTAAAAATAGAATTCTCAAGGTAATGAAAACAATTCCACCGATAGATGGTGCTTGGGAAATCTTTCCTGTTTACATTCCATGGGCAAGACAATCCCTATACCCGGAGGCTGTCATACAGCCTCCGTCTAAAAACTGTCGTCAAAATGTAAACAAAGAGGCATAACTCTTCTTGACACAAATCATGATAGAAAAAACATGGCAGAAAAAAGATTTATCTCCCGTACGTAATAAATGTGCACATATCCAGCGAAATTACAATATGTATGTCAATAATGTACCTAACTTACTAACTGCATTATAATTATTACTCCAACATAGTGCACAAGTACTTTCAACAATAACTTGATAGCGAGATTCATAAAAATGCTATATTTACCGAGATGACAAAATATACACTGTATACAGCTAAATGATTTACATAGAAAAACTCACCAATTAGAAGTTTCCTCCGGTGAAATAAATATCAGTACAAAGACTGGAAAGCATAGTAAACTAGCAAATGCAAACTGGTAACAAATGCGGCACCAAGCCCTGCCGCGTTCTGCCATGATAACACGCAATCTCCTATGCAGAGTTGTTGTTCGTTCCTCAATGTATGAGCCGATGGTAGAGAGTGTATGAGCCGAGAGTGGATAACACGGGCTCTACACAAAAAATTACTGTGCCCCAAAAACGATGACGTCACATCACACTAATGACCCTAAAAAGTCTAGTTACCGAAATGGCCGTAACACATATTTTAAATAAACTCAAAATATTATGATTACAATCAAACTTGTATGGTTTAAGGAATTTAAGGTTATGAGTTTAAGTCAGAGCTCCAGATAATTTTTTACCCCAAAGTATATTTACTCCTTAATTTTCAAATCAATGCAGATTTTGATTTTCAGCAAAATGATTGAAGAGTATTTTGTTTATATTATATAAATTTTTTGACCTTTATTTTGATTTTGAGCTTGTAATCGAAGTATGTGTTTTTGAAGAGGGGGGAAAACTTTAAACTTAAAGGTCGGTTCCTGCATTTATTCAAATAAATTTTGCAAATACCAACAAGAGTTTTTGCTAAGATTGGGAAGCATTCTTTTTTGACAAGGAAGATTATACATTACGTCAAGGTACCATAGAGTGAGAGAAATTTTCTTCATTTAAGATATCGTATCAAGAGTAAACTAAGAGAAAAGAATCTTCGTTAATATGGCAAGTTGAGAGAGATGAAAAATTGGCTATGAACCCATAATAAAAAAAAGTTATAGTCTTCCTACATAGAAATTGTTTTTAATCTTATTCTCCGATTCTTCCTTCCGAAATCCAAATGGAGATCGTCGTCGTCATTACTAGAATATGCCTGGTCACTAAAAGGCTTTTAAATTTGTACTTCGTTTTGAGAAAAAGCAAACACTGAGTTAACCTCAATTCGTTTCATATAGTAAGTCGTACCTGTATTCTTCAACTTGTACGCAGTACTTTCGTGGTGTAATGCGTATAGATCTATGATTGCTAATGCGTAATTGTACGCTCTATTTTAATTTTCAATGCATATTTTTTAAAATTTACTGCGTATTTCTGCAAATACGCACCTTATCTGGAGCTCTGGTCAGTTTAAGGATTTATTCTCTATTTTGTGTGTGTACTTTGGTTGAACTACTATTTCGATTGATGTCGTATAGGAATAACAAAACAACATATTAATGTTTTTTCTGCTTAAATGATTTCCAGAGTTTTAAAGGAGGTGCATTTAACATTCCTTAGAATGTCGGAAATTACATGAGTATATTCACAACTTGAGGTACTGTGAGCACTGAGCTCACTAAATGATACCAAACGCCTCCCATATGATATATATGATTATAATGGGAAAGTCCATGTTTTGCCCTGGTAGACCCGAAATAAGTACCAGTCCGCCAGATCGAAAAGAAAAAT